GTGGCATGTTTGCCAAGAGGTAAACTTAATTTTCTGAGCCTGAATCTCATCTGAATATCATTATTGCAATGTTTCTGAGTGTTCTGCTTATAAATGTCAGAAAATCACTATTCTTTATTTTTGTTTTGGTTTTTGTTTGGTTCATTTTTTTATTTTAATTCTAAAAACATTTTATTTGATTATTAATTTTATTTTGAAGCATTTTGAATGCATCTATAAACAAATATAAATGAATACAATATAAACATGATTTTTAAAAAGCGCTACAGAAAAAAATCTATTTTGGAAATAGTGCCATTATCATTGTCATCTTGTTTGTTGGCCTAATTTTGAATCAGTGAATTCTGCTATTTTTTTGCCCATACCATTCCTATCTCCCTCACGCTCTTTCCATATGTATATAGTTTCCAGGCCCGTATGAATGCATGTGTGCGTCAGATGGCGGAGATCCTGTATCAGATTAAAGGACCACTGAATCAGAACACTCGTAACACAGCAGAGGCTGATGCAGACAACGCACTGCGGCCACTCATGGAGTTCCTCGACACAAAGTCAGTTCAGCTCAACTTTCTTTAGTTGCTTTTAGACCAGTTCAGTTTCAGATCACTTGTCAGTTTTGCCACACTAAGGGTCTCCATGTGTGCCTATTTCTGTTTCTTGGCACACTTGGTATTCTATAAAAGAGCAGAACAAAGTGAAATGATAGCCTGTCATCAGCTGAATTGTACTGTATCTCACAAATTGCCCATGGAAAATCCCCAGACTGCCAAATGTAATATGTACATACACGTGTCTGTTTGCGATGTGTGTTGCAGCCTCAGCATCTTTGCAGACATATGTGACAAGACTGTGTTGAAGCGTGTGCTAAAGGACCTCTGGAGGAATGTTCTGATCTGCATGGAGAAAACAATTGTGTTACCTCAGAGCAGCGACAGTATAGTGAGTTATTTTACAGGAAACAGACACGTGATGTTCAATGTTAGACACCTAAAAACTCATTTCATGACACAAACAGTACTATGATTCTCTGTCCCTGCTCTCAGAACACCATATCATTATCAATGTTTTTATTATTGTTATTTCAATTGTCAGTGTTAGTATACTATCTAACGACTATATCAACGACTATAGTACTCAATCACTCAGAAGTGACGGCGATGATCAATCA